TGCTGTTTGGTATATTTTTGGATTGGACATGAATGAAATATAAAGGAAATATCAGTAGTGCTACAGCGATTAACCAAGTCCTTATGAGGCGTATATATATGAAAATTCTGGAGTTAGCTCTACTGAAATTACAGCATTTTTGCCATTCGACATGTCTTCAATGAGCTTCGCTATATATCTCGAAATGACTGGCATCCTTCATTGAAATAGCCATGAAAAACCTATATACTCTTTATATTTCCTGACAGCACATATAAGCATTTCAATACACAAACAATTATCGTCTCATTTTATAGCACGTGTGTAGGCGGGGTCAAAAATTGTTGCAAATGTCTGCAAGGTTTTAGTGGCCTTCTCTCTTTCTCTTTCGCCCTCCCGCTCTATCTCTTAAATATCTATTTTATGCATATCATTAACGGGGCATTAACACACTGTAAACCGCCTCAGCACGGAAACTATGAATGACCGCGGCGAAACGAGCCGATTTCAATGTGAATGAATGACATATATATAATAGTACAACCAACAAGTATCCAACTAAAACAAATGGAACTACAGATGTGTATATATACAGGCGCCAAGGTATTTTCTATAGTATATATATATATCTTTAGATCTTTTCTGTTTAGCTTTGCTGTTCTGAACAGGGTATTTGGATTTCAACATGAAATGTGGAACTCAAAGAAGATGTTATATGTGCGATATATGTAGGTTGGATCAGTATGTGAGGTATTATAAGATTTGTCTGTATTTTAAGTTAGACCTAAGCTCTTAGTTACGTGAAGGTTGAATTACTAGACCATAGCTACAATTATGTAAATCCCATAATATCCAGGGTATATTATCTTAAACATACTAAATCTTCTAAGTAGTTCGGGCTTGTCAGCCTTGTCTGAAACTTTAGACATAGAGAGTACGTTTAATAAATTATAAATATGCCTCGAGTGTCAGTTCGTGTTTATGTGAAACATGTTTCATTTGTTCAGTTCAATTTGGCTTTGGCAATATTATGAAGCATTTTGGCCAAGGCAAGGACAAGCGTCTATTGCTCTCTGGAAAGGTGTGCAAAACATTGCAATTTAGCAAAAAGCATTTTGATATATACTATAGAATATATACATAAATATATATATATATATTTATTTATGATGAATGTGATCCAACTGCGCTGCGTTGAGTAATAACGAGGTTATTGTAGTTGAATGAACTCTCAATGTAGACGGAAGTTACGTATAATTATATGGCTATTAGGTGCAAATACTCATGAGACACAAGTAAAATCTTTAGTGCTCGTTGAATGCCAGCTTGAAGCATGAGAAAATAAATTTACATACAGCAAATTAACATTTACCAATAAAAAACCTAAAGTACTAAGATTGTTAGCAAATTGAGTAATTAAGCTTTAGAGATAACGCTGAATGCTTTATACAAATGGGGTTTTGAATCACTTATGATCCACTTTTTAGCAGGGATAATTTGATATCTGAAAAGTCTGTGCGGATCTCTAATATAGAACAAGTTTATGTACGTAACATTGTCAACTATATTGTCTGCTAAGAAGGATTGTCAGAAGGGACAGGAAGAGGAGGAGAGACAGAAGCAGACTGAGAGCAATAGAGAGAGAGTGAGAGAAAAGTAAAGAGATAGAGAGGCAGTGAGATGCTGACATAGAGAGAGACAGAGAGAAAGCAGGATAAAGACAGATAGACAGACATAGGTAGATTGGTCTCCTAAGAGAGATATAGAGTGAGAGAGATAAAGATAGAGAGCGAAAAAGGGAGAAGAGATTTGTCTGTAACGAGAGATATAGTGAGAAAAAAGAGAGAGAGAGAGAAAGAAAAAGAGAACGAGAGCGAGAGAAGGCACAGAGTGAGATATATAAAGTTGAAGGAAGAAAAAGAAGGATTGTAGGGGAAAGCAGGCTCAATAAATTCCAAAGACTGTAGCTCGGTCAGAATGGGACATCCAAGAGATTTCCAAGGGGTGACGTTGTCGTATGATGAGAGAATGTCAAATATAATAAAAAAATGTGGGGTTTCCCATTGGAATTTCCCAAAAATGTATTAAATATGATTATGATATAGTCTGAATCTTAACTTGTGTTATTTCATTATTCTATATTTTATACTAATATATTAATATTTCTGTTAAATAATGAAAATTATTTAAGACTATATTTAGTAATAATAATCAAGCTGAGCTGATTATTCTTATATTAATATTTTCACCTCAATATATGCATAAAATTCCAATTTGATTATCAAGTCTTCTGATAAATATTTCTGTAGCAAGCAACAAGTCGATAACACCCTTTTGCTGTGTTCAGTTACAGGATATTTGAAGTATATAAATTATAAATTTCTATCGCTTGACTAATCTCCTCTCATGCCACTCAGTGCTTATATAATTTATTCCCCCAGCAGGAATTTCAGCCAGCTGACCTTGTCGCAAATCCCTCGAATATTATATATTCTATATACTCAAATGGAAAAGAATAATGCAAAAAACACTTCAGGCCGAGTCACGTACACTTTTTTTTTTTAGCGATTTTCAGATGCGCACGACATTTTCCTCAATATGCAAATAATGATTAAACAAAACAAAACAAAACACAATAAAAAAAGCAAAGCAACAAGTAAAATATTTGCGCGCTTGATGACAATGACTAAAAATAGCTCCCCAACAATTGAAATGTCGTTCCATATGAAGCCCCAACTGGCTTTGTACTTATTGTTGTTGTTGTTTTTCTCTTTATTGTTGCTAAATTTAAAACTCGGCAAGTGAGTGGGCAACCGGGTAACCATCGACCAGGAAACTTGCAGCAGCCATTCAAAGCAAAAGCAGCTAATCTGGCAGCTTAATACTCGCTCAAATAATTATAGAAATGCAAATTTGTCTAATTAAAGTGTCGAAATTGTGAAAGCTTAATTTTCTTTTAGTTGTGCCAAGCCCACAGGAATCATGTGCATATATAATTCTTGACTAATCTATAGACAAGCTCAGCAGCAACCCAGTTGACTTCAATAACTTCAGTCATATAAACTTGATAATTTTATCTGATATTCCTGCACACGAATATTCCAAGTCTTTAGCTTCCAAAAATATATGGATAGATACAAATTTATATATATACAAAGAAAATCCTGTTCAGACACATTTAAACATGAGTAAATATCTCAAGTTTCAAGACACTTCATACAGAGAGAGACAGGGACGCAGTGACAGATGGACGATATACTAGACATAACTCACAACTAATATACTCTTTAGTAGTTTGTGAACGAGTATAAGCAATGCGAACAGAATGTCAATAAAGCGCTGTGCGAATGTATTTCAGGGATTGACCCTGCAGACATGGAAATCTACAGGTCCAGAACAACTGTAGTAATAACAACAACAACAACAGCAACAACAACACACACAAGTTCAAAGTCAAAACTTAATGCGAAATGTCAGTGGAAAAAAATTGGGGCGCCCACAAATTGAGCGAGATAAAGATGAAAGATGATGACGATGACGATGATGATGATGATGATGATGTGTATGTTGATAATGATAATGTGGATAATGTTGATCATTAGCTGGGTCGATCATTATGTCAATTTCTAGTTGTTTTTGTTGTTTTTTTTTCTGCTTGGCCAAGCATGCAAACGACTTAAAACTAGGGAGGCGGGGCAGCATGGCAAAAATTTAATTAAAATTGGCGCACTTGAAGTAGTCGATAGATATATGTATATATGGATATATAAATATGCGAATATTTACAGTGAAAATTCAAATGAACGAACATTTAAGCTGGTACAGAAGCTGATATACCCTATATATAAGGTTAAAAATGTGGGTATATCTGATCAGATGTAGTAAATGAAGCTGATCAAATGGGCAATTGGGTAGATACAGCCGTCGTTCTGATAAGATATTTAATGTACTCTATTTTGATAATACAGCAAATAGAACAGTTATTTCATGTAACTACCATAGATATAATATGAACGTATTCTCTATATCAGATTTTTCTAGGGTTGAGTTCTTATAGATAATCAATTTTAAGCTAACTGATGAAGAAATTAATTATTTTTTAAAAGATTAATATCTATATCGGTCTTCTATATATCTATATCTTGATCTATGTCTATATCTATATCTATATCTATATCTATATCTATATCTATATCTATATCTATATCTATATCTATATCTATATCTATATCTATATCTATATCTATATCTAAATCTATATCTTGATCTATGTCTTTATATTTATATCTATCTACATCTATGTTTATATCTTCCACAGAGCATCCCAAGTTGTTTTCAATGACTTCACTAGTTAATCTTTCATTATAGATTTCTTATATAATCTTAAATCCAAAGAGTTTCAATCTAATATTTAAACATCAATTTCAAATTATTAGAGACTCGCTCGCTTGAATAATAAATCTCTAATTGGGGAATTGCAAAAGTAAATGTCTCAGTCCTCATGGAGCCTCTACTGTAGTTGTTGATATTTCTAAATGACTGGCACAGTGAGCACTAAAAGTGTACGCCTGACCAAATGGCCACACACAATTTCCGCGTGTTTACATGCTGTCAATTACGTGAACCACCGACAGCCCGACCGACCGCCCGCCCACCTGCTCCACAGCCATTTGTGCGGCTGCTCCCCTTCGGGATGATTTCCAATTTAATCACGATTTTAGATTACAATTTAGATTCGCTATTTGTAAATTGTAAATTGCAATTAGTTTAATTAATGCATTTCGTCTACGCATTGAGTTGAGCAAAGCGCGTCTGCCTCGAAATCATTTCAATGCCGATGACTAATGCCATCGAACACGAACCCTCTATTTCTATAATCCAAATATAAATATAAATATATATATATATATATTTATATATATATATTCGATTCGAGTGGGCAGGTTATGTGATTAGTGATGTTGCGAAATGTTTCTTCATATATATTTTTATATATATTTATAATTTATTGAAAAACTTACCAACTTGTCCTGTAGAATCTGAAAGTAGAATATAAAATATGATAAATTTATATATGTTTAATTTATTCCATGTATTTTTTAATATATATAAGCACAATTATTATATAGAGTATAACAAAAAATTGTCGAAATTATAGTCAAAAACCGTTTCAATTTTTTTTTTAATCTGCTGAGTATTTTTAGTAAACAAGCCTATAGCAGTACTTATAAGAGATCTGTTCTTGTGAAGCCATGTTGTTGCCTTATGTGTACTGATGCCGAAGAGTTCGACTGTTTTGAATATTCAGTTATTTTATATGCATTCTGATATCATACACATTTCTTCAATTGTTATTCGAAATCTGTTTAATTTGATTTATTCAAATTATGCAATTGAATATTTTTAATATCAACTAAAATATCTTAAATATCATATTAAATTTATAAAATATCTCAATTGTTTTTATGTATCCCACACTCTCTCACTTAGCCCGCCTGATATACCCTGTGCCCAGCTCTTACAGGGTATGCATTTAAATCAACTTTCGTTTAACAGGCGCCACTCAAAATGCATTTGACATGCATCAATTGCTACGAAAATCTTTCTATCAAATCTCATCCGTCGCACCTGTTGCCACAAATTGTTTTTCGGCCCGTAGCGCGGCTACAGCGAAACGAATTTTCAATCAACCATTTGTCAAGTGCGCAGCGGCAGCAAATTTAAGAGCTAGCGAGCTGCTTAAACAAATAACAGTTAATAATTGAACACTTGCGCGCCTAAGATCTGTTGGAAATGTTTGTTTTCAATTGTTGATTTGTTAGCAGCAGCCACAAAAATACCGTTTAAAGATAATTTGGTTAAAATATATTCAAATGACGTCTTAAGCCCAAACAGTTGATGTCGTATGAAGCCACGGAAAAGAGTATAAAGTTTCTGTAAGAGATAAGACCTGGTCTGTGCGACTGATAAAATATATATGAATAGTGGATTAGCTAAAAGAGCCAAGTTCGTTCTGCCGGCCACAACAATAACTTGCTCTCTTTACTCAAAAACTGAAAGACTTTAGATCTTTTATGCATTCACTGAAAATTTCAGTCAGAATCGAAGTATAGTAACAAATGGTTGGGCAGTGTTCAGGGTCAGATACTGCCGCCATTTGCCAGGTTTGCTTCTAACCTTCTTCTTCTTCGCTCGCATGTTAGTTGAGTTATTCAACAAACCTATAGAAACTCTTTTCAAAGGCCTGGTCAAACCTAAATTACATTGTTGAACAAGAATATTTTTTGTGCAACTGAAACGAACCAAAATTATCATATAGAAAAATACTATCGTTAAATATAATCTCATTTATTGATTTCTAATTAGCCAATGGGGATGAAAAAGTATTTCAATAAGGGTCGAACATGGTGGAACACATTTATGGTTCAATTAACTCAAATAGCTATGTCAATTTGGGTTTGACAACTTAGAAAATCCATTTGTAATAGTTTGATTTGACTTTTGATATGATAGAAACTAGCCCCAAAGCTGGTGCGTATCATTACATGAACCTACTCAGCTTTTGCTGTGATCAATTGGATCAAGTTACCGAAACTGCGGTAGGTGGAAATTTATAGTAGAATGACATAAAAGCACAGAGCTGTCTTCTAAAATTAAACTAATTACTAATAAACATGATAAATATATTTTTATTTTAAGTTAAAGTTTTTTTTTTTTTTTTTTAAAGATTGTAAATCGATGCTTCATGTATTGTCTATCAATGATTTATGATATATATATTATTCTTATCAGGTTCTAATTGGATATGTTTATGTTTAAATATAAGGCTAAGGCACATTTCGTTGGTCAACAAGAGTTTTCCAACGTTTTCAGAAAAGCAAAGCTCTTAGACCTCTAAGAGCTACAGGTATACAGAAAAAAAAAAACATTTTTATAAAATAAAAAAAAAACAAGTGTAAACTGATGGGAAATGCTCGACTATCAGATACTTAATCAAAATGTAAATTAGTACTTTTTCTAGTATTTTTCTCTAATATTTTTTTCTAGTATTTTTGTAAGCACCAAAGACGAACGCTCTCTAGTTGAATTGAGTTTAGCTGAAATAATGGAAATCTGTATTCAATACTTAACTGAGTATCACTAATTGAATAGTTTTAAAATAAAAAAGCCAAGTCTAAATATTGACGTCGATAGGTGTGATGAGATCGAAAGATAATGATAAATTTGTATTGCTTAAGCTATATGTTCTTGTCTGCACTATACATAACAAGTCTCTGAACTGACTGAAGACTTCACAAGTCACTCTGCTTCATAAAATATAAACTGCTGCCTGTGCGACATGTCAATGTCTATCTTTTAATGTTAAGTTTTAAAGTACATCAAGTTTCGCAAATGTGGCTTAAGTACGATCAAAATTTCTATAACATTGATAGACAGGCATGTTAGGTAATTGCATGTGTCTGCTATATAGTGCTCAATAAACTATGATAGACACTGGCTATACGCACTTGACTTTTAGTTTTCAGTTAATTGTTGGGAATTTGAGATATTTTTGTGTGCTCTGTGGACACGTAGCTGAGCAGTTGCTTGACAGCTGCAGGCTTAAGCATGTGTCATAAATTATCAACTTTTATGCTCAACACGCTGCATATTAAAAATGCTTAAAACAATAATAACAACAAATAGGCGAAGGCAAAAAGCAATCAGCAAATAAACATTCACATACGATGGGGCGGTGTGGCATGGCACCGTACGGCACGGCACGTGCTGCTGTAAAATCCATTAAAATATGAATTTTGTGACTACAACAACAGCAATGAATAGCCAACAATGGCAGAGGAGGAAAAACAGAGCGTATTAAATATGAAATCTTTGTGGATGGCCAAATGACATGCAGGACAAACAAATTGCGCATAAATTTATGACCCAACTCACTCGGACTACAACAAATAAATAAATTTTCCAAATAACATATGAATGATACACTCAATGGGTGGCGAGACGTCATGCAAATACCTGCACAGGTAATTGCAATTAGCAGGAGAGAGAGTTTCAGTCTAAATATTTGAATGGAAATTGAGTTTCCAGATATTAAAACAAATACAAATAGCATCCTAAGTAAAAAAAACTGTTGCATAGAGCTTTAGAAATATTACCTAGCCATGAGTTAGGCTCTGAATAAGAAGAAGATCTGAATAGAACCACGTTTGCTATAAAACTATGATACATTCGAATATTAATTAAGATATATATGGATTTAAGAGTATTTCCAAGATTCTTCTACAGTTGTAGATATGCAAAGATTTCCATCGAGTATATATTAAGCATATATATATCCTGTATATGAGGAATATATATCAAGTATACGTATATTTATAACAAAAGCCAATATACCCCTTTTCACTTCGCGGACGAGTAAGAAATACTGTTTAACTTAAAAAATACCACTCTAAAATTAAATTTGCTATTTTAAAAATATTCAAAACATTTAAATCTATAAACTGTATTCAAAATACCTCATAGATAATAAAAATTTCAAATAAAAATCTAAAATTTTCAAGACCAAAGAAAATTTCTAAAAACCGCCAATTAAATAATCTCAACCAATAAAATTTTCTCTATCTAATATAGAGCATTGACTAGTCACATTAGCTCAGTTCAAATAATTTCCTATATAATTTGGGGGATTTTCACATTGGCGGCTCGTAATCACACAGTCGAAACGCTTATCAGTTGCATGATGCAGCCCTGCAGGGCTACTGCAATAGCTTTCAGATTGAGCTGTTGCATTTATTTGTATTTTTTATTATTGGCGCCCTTTAATCAATGGCAATGGCAATGGCAACGAGCGTGTGTGTTCGGAGCGTGACCAAAGTACAATGGACCGCGACGAGTGCAATAAACAATAACAAGTCGAAAATTTAAGTGCAACAAATCAATCAACAGCAAAGCAGGCGACAGTTTAAGAGAGAAACAGAGAGAGAGAAAGGAAGCAGCACGTGGTGACAGCGCGGCGTCAGTCACATGAGCAAATACAACAAGTACAACAACAGCAGCCACAACAACTATCGGCAGAGCAGGCGGCATCTCAAGCATAATTGCGTCTGCGGATGCGACTAATTGTAACTGCAAATGCAAATTGGCAGCCAATAGAAATTCGGAGGTGGCGCACGCTTAAGACATGTATATAAGTGTGCGTGTGTGTATGTGTGTTGAGAAGGGGGTGGTTTGTGGAGTCGCGTTGATCGATTGAATTAGCGGGCTGTGCTCAAATCACAACGGAATGAAGAAACAGGAGAGCAACAACTACTGAGGCGCGTGGCAATGTGTGAAATAGCAAAAGAACAGAGAGATAGAGTGTGATAAGGGAAGGGGGTATGGGGCTTGACATTTCAGTTTAAGTATGGCCAAGTTCACAATTGTTTGCAATTAACCTTCAAATATTAGTGTGAGAAAATTAACCTTAGTGACGAATTAAGGCACAAAGCAAAACATGAAGAACAAGAACAACAACAACGATGCGCACTACGACACAATGCAAGCAATAAAAACCATAATACGCTAAATTTGTTATTGCATAATGAACGTAACAAGCGCATTCTCTTTCTCGCATACACGTTCTGGTTCGCTATAAGTGCAAATGCAAATTTCAATCGCGCGGGAACAGGGCAGTGAACAGCTGAGCGGCACAGCTGCAGCACTGGAGGCAGCACCCACAAGTCGCAATCGTTGGTGAAATGCATGGAAAGCAAAATGCGACTAATTGAAACTAGTTGTCGGCCTGTGGCTGTAACGTAACGTCGTCCATTTGAAGTTCGTATCAATTAAGGAAATGCTGCAATTCAATCAATTGCTAATGCATGACTGTGCCTAAGCTGTAGGGACGCCACTGTTGTTGCTTTGCACGCGCGTTCCAATTCCAAATGACACGCATAACCTCACACAACTACAAGCGCATTCACTGAGTCACCCATGCAGTGCCGCTCCACAGTTTGGCTATGTGTGTGTCGCACTCTCCTTTATTTGCTCTCGCTCTTTCTCTCTGTCTCCCTATGACAACAAGCCGGTATTTCGTTTTCATATTATTACCGCAACGAATGAAAAGCTTAAAAAGCAAACTCAAATGAAATATGTACATATGCTAAAAACCGACAAACATACAAGAACCAGTTACTCAGATTCAAATAAGCAAGTAAAAACAGAGAGAAGAAAACAACAAAAAACCAACCTGTTTTCCCTTTGCTGCTCCGACAGCTGCACAGTCGGCAAAATCGATTAAAAACCAATAGGATTGTTCCACACACTGCAGCACAGGAGGACACCGCGTTTGCTCCTTTTCACCGAGATTGATAATTTTCTTACGAGTCCACTAAAATGCCACTGCACAGGGCACAGGGAACAGTAATTATACCGCAAGCTGAAAGTTCGGCGTGACGAATCACTTTTTATTTTGTTGTAGTTGTATTTCCGTTGTTGGTGTGTGTTTATCTGGCAAGGGGATTAGCGGAGTGTAGCTTGAGCAGTAGCAGAGCAGTCGTTTATCTTTGTGGTTTACTGCAATAATTCAGTGCACTCGTATTGTCGCAAGCTGTGTTTCTTAATTAATTAACTTTTTGCACTTTGCTACTTTGCTGACAAACGAAAATTGAAAGCAAATTTCAAAATGTCGTTCAGCAGCGGCACGAAATAAATACACAATAAATTTGTGTAGCGCGTTTCGTTTTCATTTTGTTGCGTCGTGTTACGCTGCGTTCTCTTGCTTACCATGTGTACCAACAACATGTGAGAGCGCTGCTTGAGCGAGAGAGCTAGTGTGAGAGAGTGGTTCAGCTTTCTGACAGCTTACAACACTACAGCTAAAAGCACTGGCTAGAGTAGGCGCGCATCTGAAATTTGAAAATGGTTTGGTAAAGAGAAAAATTTCAATTTCGGATTTTAAAGGGCTTAACAAAGAGAATATATGATTTTTATGCCACTTTAAGGTATATATACCAAATATGTTTATTTTTTTAAAAGTATTTTCATAATATTTATTAATATTTTGTATTTTAAGATTGTTATTTAGTTTTATATTGTCTGTAGGCATGGGCATGTTTTTCGACTTGTTCACATGTTTGTTTATGGGCTGTCTGGCGACAAGTTTCGTGAATGTGGCATGCCACTAATGCGTCAATCGAGCGCTGCTTTCGACTAGCCGCAAAAAGACCGAAATCCAATCAGTCAACGGCTTCCGATGACGGCCGACAAAAACCAATCAACTAAGTGTCCAGTGCCAAGAATTAGCATAAGAAAGCCCCGGCGAAATGCGCAAATGAAAAGCGTTTAGTTCCTAATGAAATTTTACACCCAAAGGGCGCTCGTTAAACGGCCACGTCAGCGGCCAGGCCCGACTAAACCAGACCAATTGGGCTTTCCCCCTGTTGCAAATGCCCTGCCACTTGTCTGGCAAGTTTGACTTAAGTGCAGTTTTACCGAGGCGCCTGTCTGGATACGCTTTTTGCATCGACCTCCCTCGCTCATCCCCCACTCGCTCCGCCTGCTCCACTCGTTGCTTGTTTGCCCGCTGTAAACGTTGGAGGAACGTGTTAACTGCAGGTGTTTGGCATTTGAGTTACGTGCGCATGCAACAAATTGCTGGCCCCACAATTCCGTTTACATTACCCAGTCGAACCAACCACCCACCCACGCATCCACGCACCCACTGTAATTAAACGTCAGCAGCTGAATGCGCGCTTCCACGGCTTATCCCCATGTTGTCTGCCAGTCCATTGCATATGCATCGCTGTGCTCGGCCAAATCGGCGCGTCTCATAATCCTCAAGTAATCTGAGGGATTACAGCAACAGGCAGTGGACAGTGGGCATTGGGCTAATGGGCTGATGGCAATGGTCAATCAATTGAATGTGAAGCGGAAAAAAGTGGCTGAGTGAATCATAAATCAGGTGAATATATTATATATATATATATACATATTTATAAATAACCTAATTTATTATTGATTTGTTAGCTATTTTTATTATCAATATATATATGTTATTAAGGATAAGATTAAATACTTTAAGTAAGTTTAGCTAGTTCTATGTCGACTGCAGATCCAGCGAGAGGAGCGCCTGGAGAGTAGAGGAAAATTGTCTTAAATTTCATATTTTTTGTTAGGCGTATCGTAAAGTCTGACATAACGAGGCTCAGATAGAGAGCGAGAGAGAAAAGAGCAAGTGATAGATATATTGAGAGAGAGCAAATAAACTCGAATTTTATTATATTTTTTGCTATATTTTGTAAATCAAAGATAATTTAGATATTTTTAGATATGTCTAGAAATTGTTAGCGTAGAATTTACGTTTAGGATATATTAATTAAATAAGATTAGCTTAAAAGAGTTTAGCCTTGGTTTATTGATGGTGATGAGTGTCTGAATAAATCTGTATTTTTCATTCTTCTTATAATATAAATAGAAATAAATAATATATAAATATTTTTCATTCTTCTTATAATATAAATATAAATAAATAATATATAAACATTTTTCAAAAATTTTATAAATAAAAATATAAATTATAAATGTAAAAAAAAGATTGTCTTAAAAACTTGTCTCAAACTTTCCTTCCTTACTTCGATTTAATTCGAATTAATTCATTCTCACTCTATCTTTGTCTCACTTTATCTGCGTCTTTCTCTCTGACTATCTCTCACTACCTTTTCATCTCACCATAGACACAACTATTTTTTAACTTAGCTTAGTTTATTTGGACCTATAGTTATTTTCCCTGAACGCATTGAAAATGGCAAATGGTTTTGATAAAATGTATGTAACAGGCAGAAGGAGTAGTGTCAGACCCCATAAAATATATATATTCTCGATCAGGCCGAGTCAATTGAGCACTGTCCGTTCGTCTTTCCGTCTGTCCGTGTGTGAATGCGTCAATCGCTAAGCTTCTATAAGAGCTAGAGACTTGAGGACTAATATATGTAATATTACTAATAAGAAATTATGTAATATAAATATTTATATATTATTTATATAAAAATTATTTATATTATATATATATTTATATATATATACTGATCAGCATGATCAGTAGCTGTTCACATAGTTGCATACATTTGTCTGTCTTTAATATCATTTAAAAAATGAGTAAAAAAGTAATAAATGTGCTCAACAGCAGAAAGAAAAACACATTTGAATCACATATATATGAAGTATATATCTATAACATATATATCCCCGATCATACTGACAAGTTGTGTGTATATAGTTAGCTTACTCCGCTCGCCTTGTCTTCCGCTTCAAACTCTATTCAAAATGAGCGTAAATTCCCACTCAAAAAGTGCTCAGCAGCTCTGCTGGCGTTGCCCTTTGAGTGACTTTTGGGTATAAAAGGGCGCAGCAGCGGCTGCGGCGATCAGTCATGTTCCCGACCTGGACTAGGTCAGTCGTGTGGTGCAGTGAAAGTGGTGAATAAATTTAAGTTTTTTTTGTTAAATATTAAGTTTAAATAATTTGTATTTTTTAATAAATAATGTATTAGTTTAAATAAATATTTTTAAGGTTTTTGATCATTGTTTATTTGTTTATTAAATATTTAATATTTAGTTGTTTAAATGTTTACTTTTAATTATTATTAATAAACACTAATTGTTATTGTAATAATGAAGTTCGTTGTAATGTTCATTAGCGAAAATGAACATTCGAAATAATGATCATTTATGCTCATGAATATTATTAGTAACTATCATTAACGTTAATGTTCATTAGCAATATGCTTTTTTTCATGATCATTCTCATAATGCTAATTAAGTTAAGAGTAAAATAGCCATTGTTAATTAAGAACTAAAATATTTATTAAAATAAGTAATATTTAAGAGAATTTAATTTTATTTTTTACTCTTTATGCCCGTCGTAGGCAGAGAATCTCTTCTCTAATTTTCATTTTTTATAACATTAACGTTTTGCACATATATATTAAACGTTCACAAAAGCACATATTGTATATATATTTATAATTTAAAATATTTTAAAACAAGAATATATAAATGTTATATATTTATAAATATAAATATATATAATATATATATACATATATATATATATATATATATATATATATATATAATATATATATATATATAATATATATATATAATATATATATATATATATATATATATATATATATATATATATATATATATATATATATATATGTATATATATATAAATAATCTATTTATGTATTACAAACTAAATATTATAATGAATAATAGAAAAATATCTGAAATATTGTATATAAAAAGTCAAAAGTCAGGAAAAAAAAATTAAAAACTAAAAAATATAAATATATTTATTTGTAGCTATATTTACTATATTTATATTATATATTATATTTATATTTATATTTATAGCTACCTATATTTTATGCCCTTCTCTCTCTCTCTCTCTTTTTCTCATTACCATTCTCTGCATTTCCTTCTTCTTCACTTTTTTTCTTTCCATTACTTAGAAGCATTAAGAAATCAATTTTTTGAGCTTCCGCTACGCAGATTTGTTTCTCTCTCTTTTCTCTTCCAATATCATACTTCCCTTCTTCTTTACTTTCCTTTCCTTTCCATTTCTTACAAATATTAATACATCAATTTTAGGCTTCCCCTACACAGATTTGTCTCTCTCTCTCTATCCATCCATCGTTCCATAATCCATCTATTCCTCTTTTTAGATATATGACTTTATCTTTCTCAATATCTGTCTCTCTCTCTCTCTCTCTCTCTCTCTCTCTCTCTCTCTCTCTCTCTCTCTCTCTCTCTCTCTCTCTCTCTCTCTCTCTCTCTCTCTCTCTCTCTCTCTCTCTCTCTCTCTCTCTCTCTCTTTCTTTCTCTCTCTCTCCCACACTCTTTCTCTCTCTCTTTCTTTCCCTTTTTCCGCCTTCATCCATTCTCTAACATTCTCTTACAGACTTCTCCTTTACTTCCGTCTCCTGCCTTCACTTCTTATGAGCATTACGAAATCTATTAGCTGTGCTTCCCTTAGAGTCCACGCCCAGCAATTAGACTGGATTGGACAGTGTTGTTGGCCACTTGGGCCTGTTAGCAGGTGCTTTGCTTTGGACGCATGGGGCTATAAAACGATTAAAAGGCCGCACGAGCGCAACGGCAGGAAAACAAACACCAGAGACATGTTACCGTAGCCTGTGGGCCGTGAGTTCCGTGTGTCCTGTGTCCAGGACACTCGTCCGATGTCTGCATCGATGGAACGTGACGCTGCAAGTGGACTCATAATGCAGTCGTC